GAATGAGGCCACTAATGCATGACAGATAGGCTATTGACTTGTGGGTTTAGGATCATTTGCCCTCAGGGTTGTGTGACTGTTGGGAAGTGAGAAGAGGTATTGATTTTAGGAAACTGGATTATTGAATGTTGTGTTGCCTTCAATCCCTGGAAGTTGAACTGTACATCCATTTGGATGGGATGGTAGATCAGTGGAGGTGGAGCACTTGGTTAGTGGTGATGATGTCTAGAATCAGAGGAGATGGAAGTTTTGATCCCTGGGAAGAGCTATTGTCTGGTGGGGATGGGCTGCTTGTCTTTGAGATGAGGCCACTGATTCTTGGAAACAGGGCTTTGGATCTGAGAGGATCTGAGAGCACTGAAGATCCATGAGGATGGGGCTATTAATCTTGGGGGTAGTGTGCTATTGTAGTCACTGATCCATGGGAGTTGAAATATTGACCCCCATGAGCAGCCCCATCCCCATAGTCACTTGTTTGTAGAGTTGAACTATTGGTCAGTGGGAATGGGGCTATTGATATTTAGAAATTAACAATGATCTCTAGGAATGAGGCTACTGAGATGGAGCTAATAGTCCATGTGGATAGGGCCCTTAGCAGGGATGAATCTTAATGTATGAAGATGGTGAGGGAGGTGGTTAGTGGTGATAGGGACAATAGAGGAGGAGCTAGGACTTTTGATATGTGGATATAGGGTTTTTGGTCAGCAGGGATGGGGCTACTGTCTTTGGAGATGAGGCCATTGATCCATGGATACAGGGATTGGGAGTGGTGGAAAAGATACTCTGTTGTGTTGAAGAGGTCTGGAAAGAGTATTTCTTGATGAGGGGTGAAGTTGAGACAGGGATGGGGCTGCGTAACACTGAACAGAAGAAATCCAGAGAGCGCTGCAGAGTCCACCGAATCCTCTTCAGCCTCTTGCGAAGGCTAGCTACCTCCGCTAGCCTCCCTAGCGCCCCCTCCTCTCTACTCGCCAGCCCTCACCTGTCGGCTGGGTAGCCCAGGAACAGGTAGCCGGAAGCAAAGCCCAAGATGAAGAGGATCTGCTCCAGGATCACCTGCCAGCCCAGGTCACACACCAGATCCCACTGGGGACGTGAGGGGGATGGAAAGAGTGTGAGGCCCCTTGTTGGTCGCTCTCGGCCCGCCCCCAGACCCGTGGCCCACTGTTCTGTCTCACCTGGCCGATGGCGTTGGTGGTGAGCACGGGCAGGCCATTATAGTCCCAGTCCTTGAGGCAGTGGTTGAAGTCCGGCGGGGCGAAGCCGCTGCACGAGGGGTCGGTACTGGTGGCGACGACGCGGCTGGCGGCGCTGGCTGCTAAGGCCGCGCTGACGCCGCTGGCGTTGGGGGTCTGCTCCCAGCCAGAAGTGTTGGGGGGGAAGGCCCCGTAGTGGCAATGCAGCGGGGGCGCCAGCGTGAAGATGGGGTCCGAGGCCAAGCCCAGGGCCACGAAGAGCACGGGCAGGCAGCAGAGGCCGAGCTGCAGCTGCTGGCCGCCGCCTAGCGCCCCTACTTGGGCGAGCAGCGCCTCGAAGCTGGGGGGGCCGGGGGGCACGGCCAGCGACAGGCTGCTGCCCATCCCGTCGCCGCCCGCGTCGCCCTCCCCCTCCCGCTCCCGCTCGCGCTCCCGCTCACCCTGCAGCTGCTCCGTGGGCACCGCATCTCCGAGGGTCCCGACCTGCTGTGGAGGGTGGGGGCAGAAGAAGGGTGAAGCGGAGAAAACCGCAGAGTAAGGGAAGAGCGCGATCGGGAGGAAGGCGGCGGGGAATGCGCGGGAGGAAAATGCCAGGCGCTTGGCGGAGGTGCGGGGAGATGATGGCGTAGCCCACAGGGCCCGGACACTTACTCCATTGGGGCTGGGGGTGATCTCTATAGTGCTGTCGATTTTGCTGCCGCCCCCGCCATTGGGCTCGGGGGTCCCGGTGGCCACCCGGGGAGCCAGCTTGCCGACCGCAGGGGCCCTGCGGGCCCACACCGAAAGGATGCGCTGTCCTCTGGCCCAGTGGCGCGCCCGGTGCCCGGACACAGAAGCCAGAGAGACCCCGCTCTGCAGCTCTGCAGCCGCGGGCGCCTCCTTCGTCTCTGCGATCTATGCGCTGCTTTCCCCTCCCCTTCCTCCAGACTCTCCTCCCCTTCCCACGTCAGCAGAACCTTCGGTCCAGACTCTTCGTCAGAGAGAGAAAGGGGGGCCAGGGCCCAGGAGAGGGAGAGGATGGGGCTCAATCTCTGTTCCTTGGGTCTGCAGGCCATTGCAGTAGAGAGGAAAAAAATGCTTAAGGATAGTAGATCCCAGGCAGAGGCCAGCAATTCTTCCTTTGCTTCCAATTCTTCCTCCTCACCATTCACCCATCCAACCATCCATCCATCCACTCATTCATCAATAAAATGTGTCTGCTGTGCTGGCCTTGTGCTAGGCTTTGGGAATAACAGTATGGACAAGACCCACCTTGGAGTACTTACTGGGGAGATGGGTGGGTATACTGGAAATTACGCTATAGGGCATCCACATGGTGGACTGGGTTGGGCGTTGCATTCAGCCTTAGCTTTAATCCTCTAGAAGACCACTTTTCTGGTATTATCACTCCTACCCTGGCTGAGTCTCCATCATTTCTCAACAGCATTTGGCACTGTTGACCACCCCTTCCTCGAAACACTTTCTTCCTTGGCTGCTAAGTCCCACACTCTCCCTGGTTTTTTCTCTTGCTCCCCTTTTCTCCATCACAGGCTCATCCTCTTCCTTTTCGCCATCATTCAGTGTCTGCGATCTTCAGAGGCTTGATCCTAGGCCCTCTTCTGTTCTCTGTTCTACCTCAGGATCTCACCTGTGCCCATGGCTGCAATCATGCTCAGTATGAACAGTATGAACCAATACAAACCTGATTCCCAGGTTTACATCTCCAGCTCCCACCTCTCTTCTGAGCCCCAGATCTATGAAGCCATCTCTTATTTGACCTCTTACCTTGGATGACTCACAGGGACCTCAAACTCAATATGTACAAAACCAAACTCATGGTCTTCCCTTGTAACCTGGTTGTCTTCTAATGCTTCTTTCCTCAGTGAATGGCACCCTTGTCATCCAATTGTGGCCAGATGCTCAGGCGACAGCCCTTAGAGCAACCCTCTTCTTTACCCCCATGTCAAATCCTTTATAATGTCCTGTCCATTTTACTTCCTATATAGTTCTCAGATATTCTGCTTCTCTCCATCTTTACCACCACTAGTCAAGCTGCTTGTTGTACGGACTGCTTTAGCCTAACTCGTAACCAGTGATCTGCATCTGCTTTGTATCCATCTCTTTCCCTCATCTGTTATTCATACTGCAGAAGCAGTGATCTTTTCAAAATGCAGATCTGTGTATGTCCCTTTTGTACTTAGCAGCCTTCAATGTCTTCCCACCATCATGGTAAATGCTAATATCCCAGACACCTCATATGTGGTCCCATGCTCTCTGCAGCTCCACCTCACTTCTCTCCCTAAACTCTCTGCACTCCAGCCACACTCATATTCTTTCAGTTTTTTCCAGGGCCATAGGGCCCTTGCTTTATGCCTAGAAGGCTTCTCTTCCTCCTTAGTCAAGTCCTCCTCATCCTTCAGCTGTCAGCTCAAGCATATTTGTCTCAGAGAAACCTTCCCTAACTCCTTGAATTGCTACTCAAAATGTGATTTACAGACCAGCAGCACCCACATCACCTGGGTGCTTATTAGAAATGCAGAGAGTCTGCATTTTAGCTCAATCCTCAGGCGTATGTACATTTAAGTTAGAGATACACTTCTCTAAGAGATTCGATACCTAATAGGTACTTTATTCTTTAATCTCAGATAAAGGCCGGAAATGAGTGTCCTGGCAGTCTCAGCTAGGTAATGCATTCTCTCTTCTTGCCACTGAACCACACTTCTACTTTGTCTCCTCTATTCAGAAATTTTCCAAATGTGGGAAACTCTTCTGATGCAATAAGTAGCCTCCCCCCACTTTTCCTCCCCCAACTCATTTCACCATCTCTTCAGGATTTACTTTGGTGCTGTCACAGCCAACATTCCTTGGGGATTTGTTTGTGTCCTTGTATCTGTCCTGGAATTATCATCCCTTTGTATGGTGCTGGGCTGTTCACATGCATTATCTTGTTTTAGGGCCTCACAACAACCCTGGGAGATCATTATGCTCATCCTTATCCTCATATTAAAGATGAAACTAGGACTCAGAGGGACTGACAGGGTTTACCTGCAGACACAGATACATGGAGACTTGCACTGAGACCTCTGCCTCTAATTCCAGGCTGATCTTTTAAAATTCTTCCTAGAAAATGATGGAGGATGGCCCCTATTATAAGTCTTCAGTGAATTTTGGTGGCCCCAGAATCAGGAAATGAGTTCCCTTTGGAGAGTGAAGTGGCCTCCAGGCAAATGCATGGGGGCAGGCCAAGGGACTAAGACTGTGATTGAATTTGGGGGTGCCTCCACTGTGCCAGGGAAGTATCTTGGGAAAGCGGAACTGAAGCAATAGATCTGTGGCTTAGACTTCTTCCCTTGTGGAAATGGCTAGAGGAACCACACCGCTCATCAAGTTCACCAAGCCCTGAGGACTCTGGGCTTCCAACACCCTCAGCTCCTCTGAATGATGGTATGTCCAGATAAATGGTCAGCAGGAAAGGGGAGTTTAAGGGGCTGGACTTTCTTAGGTTAACCTAAGGGAGAGGGTGCCCGGACCAGCAGTTCTCTCCAGTTGACCGGAGCTGTCTTATGGCACCAAGCTGAAGACAGTTGGGGTGACCCCTTCAGCATGGCACCATCAAGGCTCCCATGGCCAACCTCTCCACATGTGCATTTCTCTAATCACAGCACCTGACAATGAGGTCTTGGAGGAGAGGGCTTGGTCTGTAGTCAGGGTCTGCCTCCCTGGAATGCAACTTCTCAGACCCTTCTTGGTTCGCACATCCTCAGGGTCTCGGCACATCCATCATCCTGTTTTTTTTCCATTACCAGCAACTTTCAAACTGTCAACTCTGTGCCGGGTTTCTTTTTTTTATTTACTTGCTTTAGCTGACTTGTTTATATCCAGCCCCCTTTCCCACCCAGCAGTGTACCTTCAGATTTTTGCTGGGCGTATCATGGGAGCTGAGAACCCACGAGATGAAGGGTTGTTGAAGAAACAGCAAAATTTCCCCTCAAACCCTAAAGGCAGCTTGCTCACAGTGTGTGTCCCATCAGTGTGGACAAGGGTACCAGGCCTGCCCCACAGGGTCCCAAGAAGCAAAGTCAGGGAACCAGACAGCTGGTTTATTGAGTGCCTGAAGCCCAGTCTCTCCGGAGGGAGGAAAGACTCTCTCCCCCTGTGGGGAGGCACCAATGTCCCACCCTTGCTCTCAGCTAACAGTGAGGCACTGATGTCTGAGAGCCAAGACACAGAATAAGAAAGGGGCTCTGGGTGGCCCCAGGTTTCAGCCATCTGGTTCTCTGTGGGGCCAAGCTTTTGGAAGCAGGTGGCCATGTGGTGCCCAAGAACCTCCACCCCAGGCTGAGGGAGGAGGAGAGTCCAGTTCCTCCCTGCCCAGAGGAGGCACCTGTTCCTGACAAAGCAGGGAATAATATTAAATATAAATAATTTATACAAAATGGCTCGTACAAAAAGCTGTGGGCTAGGGGGAAGAGCCTCTGTGAGAGGCTGAGATGACTGGAATGGGCAGGAATGGGGAAAGATGCCTCCGCCTCTTCTAGTTCCTAAAACTAGGGTGGCCCCAGGCCTGGAGGGGGGCTCTGGTAGGCAGGCGAGGGCAGAGCAGGTCCAAGGGGCTCAGGGGGCCAGGCTGGTGAGCAGGGTGGTGAATTGCAGGGCCCGCCCTGCCAGCTCTGCCACACACTGTGACATCTCTTGAGCCGCAGAGCCCGATGGGTAGCCCAGAGCGGCCCCCTTGACGGCCAGCACGGTGGCCCGCAATGCCTGGCCCAGCACTGTGCCCGCAGCCCCGACCTGTGCTCGCAGAGGGGTGGAGGCTGCCAGCCGGCCCAGGGTGTCCCCAATGAATACGAGGCGGTGAGCGGCCACCACCACCCGCTTGCCGTGGGGCACAAAGAGGCGTGGAGGCTGGTTGGCCCGGGTGCTGGACATCAGGGCTGCCACGGCTGCCTGCAGCGCTGAGTAGTGGCTCTGGCATTGCCCGGCATAGAAGTGCAGGAGCTGGAGATCTCCGGCGGGCAGAACCAGTGGTTCCCCTGGGGACAGGGCCTCCTGAGGGCAAGAGGAGTGGTCAGTGGGACCGCTCTCATTAATGCCATTTTTGCTCTCATTTCCTTCCTCCTTCCCTCCCTTTGTGCCTCATTCCTACTTTTCTCTCTGAGTGCAATCCTTTGAGATCTTACCTCTGCCCATAAGACAATTTGGATTCTCACAGCAAGTGACAGGGAAGTGTCCAGAGTTGATGTCAGATAAATCTGGATTCAAACAAACTCAAACAAGTCTCTGAACTTCGTTGTTTTCTTATCTCTAAAATGGAGACTCTAGTATGGGGCTGTCCAATGTGAACAGAATGTGAGCCACACATGTAATCTCAAATTTTCTAGCAGTCACGTTACAAAAAGTACAAAGAAATTGGTCTAGATTTTCTGACTCCATATATCAAAAATGTTGCAATTTCAACATTGTAATCAATATGAAAATTATTGAGATTGTTTTTCATACAAAGTCTGCAAAATCTGGTGTGCATTTTATATTTATAGCACATTTCAGTTTGGACCAGTCACATTTGGAGGGATTAGTAGCCACATGTGGCTTGGGGCTACCACACTGGCTAGTGCAGTTCTTGTCACCTAAGGCTGCAGTGAGGATAAGTTGGCACCGTGTATGGAAAGGGCTGAGAACAGAGCATTGCCGGCTGTAAGCCCCTTATGAGAGCTGACCATGGCTATGATCAGTGCTGACGTGTGTGACGTTTGAGCACAGGGTCTGGCGCTTGGAAAATACCTGACAAATGGTGGCTGTTGTGACTAGGACCATTCTAGACTGAGCCGAGGAGACCATCTCACTTTCTTGAGGCCCAGAGAGATTAACAGGCGACTTCAGAGCTCCTGGCTTCTTAGTGGTGGAGCCGAGATTAGGAGCTGGGTCTCTTAGGAGCCCAGGAATTCACAGTTGAGAGGAGTCTCAGAAGTCGCCTGGCCCAGCCCAGACCTGCAGCCCAGAAATTCTGCTCCTGATTGCTTGGTTTTCTGACTTCTCTCCAACACATTCTTTCCCCTCTTTCTGAATTCCCGATATCCTTTTCTAAGTTCCAGCTCCTTCCTGATTTGTAACACCTCCCCACTCCAGCTGCTGGGTTTCATTGCACTCTTACCCCGATCCTAATCGATTTCCCCGATGGTTCAGTTAAGAATACCCCTCCTTCCAAGTTCCTGCTCCTCCTGCCCCAGGCCCCCTCCCCCAGCACCCCCTACACAGGGTTACCTGTGGCTCCGGCGGCCCCCTCTCCAGCAGGTCAGGATCCCCTGGGGAGGCCTTATCCGGGGGCCTGGATCCCTGAGCTTTGTCCACGCCCTGCAGGAGGGGATGAACGTCTCAGTTTGGAGGGAGGGAGGGCGAGGTGGCCTTCGTGGCCTTCCTGTTCCTTCCCATTCCTGCTTCCTTCCCAAAGCCTCTCCTGCCATCAGTGTAACAGCCCCTTGACTCCAGGTCTGGGAGAGCTCTGGTGGCAGGTCAGAGAGCTCAGGGACCCCAGGCTGGGTTTAGGGGGAGGAATGTCGCACTGATACAGGTGGTGTGACCAAGTACTGGGGTCCTAGTCCATGAGATGTGGGGCCAGCTTAGGGGAAGAAGGGAAGAGAGGAAGGGACGGTCTGAGCCTGGGCTTCAGGCCTCCTGGCTTCTCCCCCCTGGTTCTCCTGGAGGCATTTCTGGTGGTGGCTGGAGGCGAGCTCACCTTCAGGTGGACATAGTCGTACTCCTCAGCCATTGGGATGCCTTCGTACTCATTGTGGTGACCTGCTGGATGGTCCTCCACCTCCCCGCCGTCTGGATCCCCCTCAACCTTGGGGATCCCATAGCCCGGCAGGCGGGGTGGGGGTGGGGGCAGAGGCCTGTCCTGGATGCTGCCCCTCCGGCCTGGAGCAGGAGAGGGAGCCGGAGAAGGGCTAGGGGCCTCTGGGACAGGCAGGGCAGGCAGAGGGCGGCGGGACAGGCTCTCAGCTGAGGGCAACCGGGGCCTGTGGGGGGGTGCGGGGCTTCTGGTCAGAAGCAGGGCCAGGGTGTCCAGGTCATTGGAGGCTGAGGCTCCCAGGGGCTCTGGAGAAGGGGGTGTCTCTGGCCCCAGCAGGGGAACGTCGTAGATGCCCTCGTCCGTGCCCCCGCCTTCCCCATCTGCCAGCAGTTCCTCGGGTGCTTCGTACAGGTTGAGCAGGGCTGATGCTCGTTTCAGGTTGGAGGGAGCAGCATAGATGGGGGGGCCTGGCTCCCGGCCCCCTCCACTCCAGATCCGGGTCCAACTCAGATGGTGGTTTCAGGGCCAGAGGCACGTCGTAGGGAGCTTCATCCTCTCCAGGGGGCTGTGGGGCTACCTGGGCCAGAGGGCGGGCAAAGGATGCGGGGGAGTCATAGGGGCCATCAGAAGGAACTCGGAGGGCAGTGGGGGGCACATCATAGACCTGGAGAGGAAATAGTTGGTTACTCACAGGCTCAGCAACTGGCTGCCCATCTCCGCCACCCCTACACAGAAAGCCATCTGTTCCCTGCCCAACATACACATGAACCTCTAGCCCTCACCTCCAAGGCATCTCCAGGGGCAGCCAGTTGAGTCCCACTGCCTCTGGGGACCTTGTAGATGTTATCAGGGGAGGGCGGACAGGGTCCTGCTGGAGGTCCCGAGGTAGGACAGGGCCGAGCTGGGGGTGGCACCACATACACCTGAGGGATCAAGACAGGCAGGTGGGTTTGAGGGGTGGGGTGGGGGAGTAGGGACCAAGGTATCAGATAATGTGTACCTGGGAGGAGTTTAGACATCTTCCAAACCCCTCCCTGTGCTGATGGGGAGACAGCCCAGAAAGGCTTGGCAGACAGGCTTCATACAGCACAGAGCCAGTGCAGAACTGTGGTCCCAGGGCTCTTCCTGCCCCACCTGCAGGCACTGGTGGAGGGGAACGGGGCTGTCCTGACTTGGGGTTGGGGGAGCTCCAACTCTCACCTCCTGGTCCTCATTGCCTTGCTCTGGGGCTGGAAGTGGTAAGCCAGGCTGGGCTGAGGGCACCTGGGAGAGGCCGGGTTTAGGTGCTGGGCCAGCAGGAAGGAGCTTCACTCTGTTGGCGGGCACAATGCCCTGCTGGCCATGCAGGGAGCAGAGGCACCAGCCGTCCAGCCCGTCAGCACCTTCCCTCTGCAGTACCCGTAGAACATCCCCTCGGCGAAAGGACAGCTCCTGGGGGGACTCAGCAGTGTTGTCGTAGAGTGCCCGGGCCAGCTGGGCCTGGTGGGTGAGGTGGAAGTGAGGAAAGGGGTCTTCACACACAGATCAGGTCATGTCACCTGCCTGCTCAAAACACTTGAGAGCTCCCCAGTTCCCTCAAGCTAAAAATCTGACCTCCTGACTCAGCTCTTCCTGACTAGGCCCTGCCTCATCTCCAGCTTCAACCCCTGCACTCTCCCTCTTCTTTTCTATTCCTTGATCTAGACAAACTCATTCCTACCTCAGGGCCTCTGCACTTCCTTTACCCAGAACCCTCTTCCCCCGACTCTTCATCTGAACTGGTCTTATTTCAATCCTTCAGTTCTCTTAAAACATCTCCTTCTCAAAGAGGTCTTTTCTTCACTCTTCTCCCCACCCCATTCTGTCTGTCTCTGCCCATTGTTTCCTTCACAATACTTTGTATGATTTGCCTACTTACTTCTTTATCACTGATTTCTCCCCTTGTACTATCAGCCTGTGAGAAAAAGGACTGCTATATTCCAAGCCCCTGCAATAGGCCTGATCTGGAATCATTCCTCCATAAACATGTTGAAAGAATTATTCAAGAAGTGCTGCAAAGATTTCCTATAGAATCTCTTGCCTTCCATGCCCCAGTCAGCATCCCCCATAAGCAGGTTAGCCTGAGCAACTGCAGAGACCCCCTCACTGAGAGACTGGGAGAAACCCAGCCCAGACTGAGTCTCAGCATAAATTAAGGAAGAAAACAGAAACCAAAGCAATTGTTTTGTTCTCAGTCTGAGCAAAATAGGTTCTACCAGAAGAGGCTGAGGTTACCATGGAGAAAAGTGTACATGCTCGGGGCTGGTGGACCGACCAAGAGCAAACATTTATCAACCTGTTTCCAGTCCTGTCTGGTGGGGACATCGAAGCTTTTTCCTACATGCTCAGGTAAATTACAACACCGAGTGCAAATTGTATATCCAGACACTATGCTCGTGTTTGCACTAATTGTCTCATCTCAGTTAAACCTCACAATATCCTTGTGAGGAAGGAACCATCATTCTCCCCGTTTGGAAAGAAAGTTGGAACAGAGAGGTTAGTACTTTGCCCAATGACACACAGCTGGGTACAGCTGATGGAGTGTGATCTGAACCCCAGGCTATGTGATTCCAGGGCCTACACTCTCACTCACTCCTCTGCTGCCTCTCCACAACCACAAACATTAGGATCTACTTTGTTCTTCTTATATAAGTAACAGTAGTTAAGTCAAGAGAAGCCATGACTCAAAAATGACTCAAGCTCATGGGAAGTCTTCACGATGCCCAATTTCCCTTTGCTCGTCACTTTTCACTGGGCTCCGGTTCCACAATGTCCTTTGGTAGAATCAAGATTAACCCACTCGTAATAGCAAAATGTATTCCATTTGAGCTCTGTTTGTTAAGTGACTCGAACCTGCTGGCAGGATCCTGGGCAGTGGTGGCTTACCCACTGGTGGTGGGAAGCAGGTAGTTAGGCATTACTGAGCAGGTAATCCACGTGGGCTGCCTAATTCAGTGAAACCTCTCAAGCTAAAGATCTCTGGCAGGCTGCATTTGGCCACAAGGTCCTGGGGGAAGGGTGGCCTGCTCAGCCAGCATGAGTGCATGCTCCTCTTGGCTGGGTGATTTTAACAATAAACTGACTTCTCCTGCCTGAGTCCAAACTCATCAAACCCTTTTCTGAAATTTTGGCTTCTAAAGGATGTCGTCCCTTAGGAAGTAAACACACTAGCCAGATGACACAAATTCCTGGTTAGCTTGGCACTTTTCTTTCTTTTCTTTTTTTTCTTTGTATACATATATTGTTGAAGTATAGTCAGTTTACAATGTTGCATCAATTTCTGGCGTGCAGCATAATGTTTCAGTCATACATGAACATACATGTATTTGTTTTCATATTCTTTCTCACCATAAGCTACTATTAGATATTGAATATAGTTCCCTGTGCTATACAGTATGAATTTGTTGTTTATCTATTTTATATGTATTAGTTAGTATCTGCAAATCTCAAACTCCCAATTCATCCCTTCCCACCCCCTTTCCCCCCAGTAACAGTAAGTTTGTTTTCTATGTCTGTGAGTCTGTTTTGTAAATAAGTTCGTTTGTCTTTTTTTTTAAGATTCCACAACACTTTTCTTTCTAATTAGAAATTAGAAATTGGTGTTTTGGATCTAGTCAGGGGGTTAAGAGCATGGTTCTGAAGCAGACAGACCTGGGTTTGAGTCCTGGATCTGCCCGTTTCAAGCTGGGTGACTGGGCAGTTTGTTTAGCCTCTCTGATCCTCAGTTCCCTCCTTTGTAGAATTCCATATCCATATGCAAGTATCCACTTTCAGATAATAACAGTATTGGCCTCACAGGGTTATTATGAGGACTGGGTGAGATAATGCGTCAAACAACCAGGACAAAGCTTAGGGCCAGCAAGGAGCCAGTAAATGCTCAAAAAATATTAGCTGTTGTTAGGATCCTATAAGTATCATAAGCATAAATCTCTGCCCCTCTCCAGGCAAAAAGAAAGATCTACCTCCTGGGACTACATAGCTGACCAGCATCCTGAGCCAGCGTCATGTCAGATACCTCACTATGTTCAGGACCTCCCCTCTTCCACCTCTGAAGGAAGCTGACTTCGCAGGGCCTTCTCATCATCATACAGATTGAGGAACTAATAGGAGTTTAGTTTGAGAAAGAGTGAAAATCTAACTCATCCTCGAGGGATGTGGGAGATGTCAGGAGTCAGGCTTTTCCTCCCAGCCTCACAATCCTCCTTTTCAGAGTGCCCATGCAGAGACAGCCAGGAAGCAGGTGACAGTATCGCTTTCCCTGGCAATCCTAGAGCCTAGGGAAGGGTGGAAAGGGGACAGAGTTGCTTGAATTAAGACTGTAAGAAGTGCAGGACAGAAAGCAGGGGTGGAGCTGTGGAGAGCTCCTCCCTGTGTCAGGTTTGAATTCTGTCCAATGGGACCAAAACCTCTGGCCTTGCAATTTCTAGAACCCAGGCCAGAGTTGCTGATAGACTGATTGATGGTGGGTGTGGCCACCCCAGCTCTACCCCCTCTTCAGGGGCCCAGCTGACTTGTGAGGGAGTGGCTGCCTTAAAGGAGGGTGGCAGTGGGCCACATGCTCTCTGGGAGGCCCCCTCCCACTGTCCCCTCATGCCAGCTGTCTCCTCCCTTTGTCCCCAGTCCCAGGAAAGTGGCCAGAGGCTGGCTGACATCATCTCCCCTCCTCCCTCTATTTTCTCTTGCTCTCTGACTGATCTCCCTCTTTTGCTCTATTTCCCCCCTTTCTTCCATCCTTCCTCTAGACAAGGGCCTCTCCTAGGGCCCCTTGGCCTCTCCCATTTTCCTGGAACCACCTCCGTTCTTTCAGCCCCCTCCCAACCTTTTACTAGCCTCCCAATCACAAGTCCCTGCCAACTACCAGTGGCCATCTGTTCCCGCCCATGAAAGAGCAGATAGGACTCAGGCTAGACTTGCCCCCTCCCCTCCTTCCAGGGGCAGCCTCTAGAAAGAAAGCGAGGAGAATGGGGAGGGGGAGGGGAGAAGGGGGAAGCCAGACCAGGAGGGGACCAGGGGTGAGGAGAGGGAGAAAGAGAAACAAAAGTGAGAGGAGGGGGACACGGCCTCTTGGAGAAGCAAGGGACCACGGAGCGAGACAAAGAGAAGGCAGAGATAAGTGACAGGAGTGCAGGATGGGCTGCGGAGGTCTCTGCCCCGCAGCCTCCTCTCTCTGGTGGACTCACCGACGTGGCTATGGCCATGGCCTTGGCCTCCCGCGCGGCCAGTTCCAGGCCAGGCTCTGTTTCGCTGACTTCAGCGCCTGCCCCGCACCATGGAGGCGGCCCCCGGCTGCGGCGCCTGAGTCGTGGCCTCCGCGGAGGTTGGAGGAGGAGAAAGAAAACCCACAAGACTCCCCAAATGGGAGGCAGCTTGGCCGGGCAGGAGGAGGAGCGAGGCGGGCCGGGGCGTCGCTGCGGGACCTCATCCAAGGGCGCGCGCTCTGCACTGTCCCCGTGGCCTCCCGGGGGCCGCCGGGTGGGCCAGGGCCCCGGAGCTGCCTGCCCTAGGCCGAAGAGGCACCCCGGGTCCACATGGGCCCAAAGCTCCCTTACAGGGCAGAGGCGGGTGAGGAGGCGGGAACTGGGGCTCTGTTCGACGCCTCTCCGAGCCGCTCAGGACGGCCCCGAGGGCAGGGAGAAGCCACCTGGGCGGTTGGGCTGGACGAGCGAGTTTAGGGGCCAACCCTCCCCACCCGAGGGCCGCGCCAGAGAGCGGTGCTCCCGGGGGCCGAGGTGGGGGCGCCCAGGACTCTGTGGCGGCCCCGTTGCGAGAGGGGGCGGGGTGGGGTGGGTACAGAGAACTGAGACGTTCGTCCTCTTTAAACTCGCCGGAGTTGGCGAACGGAGGCCAGGCTGGCGCCAAAGGCCTTGGAGAGCGCGGCCGCTGGGCTGGGTGGCCCGAGTGGCCGCTTTCTGCTCAGACGCTCGCGGCCCCGGCGGGGAGGCAGGTTCCCACGCACTCACACTCGCTCGCGCCCGGGAGTCTAGGGGCGCCGCGACGCCACCCGCACGCGGGCTCGGCTCGAAGGG